GAAACAGCTTTTTTTCTAATTCTAGCATGAGGCTGCCTGTTTCCATCCAACTCCTGCAAGCTGTGGCATTTCCCCAGATAAGCTTTATAAAAAAGCCTTTACTCTGAGTGTGCCAGGCTGTCTCACCTACAGAAGTCTGCACAGCATCACCTCCACTCCCACAGAAGGATGTCTGCACCAGGCAGTAGAAAACTGGGATTTGGATGCTTCCTACTTTTATTTTTTTCTTTCTTCTTTTTTTTTTTTTTTTTTTTTTTTTTTTTTTTTTTTTTTTTTTTTTTTTTTTTAAGAGGTGGGAAAGAAGAACAGAAGAGAGTCAAGTGTGTGTCCAACAGGGCTGAAATCAGGTTGGATGGAGCTCTGAGCAAGCTGATCTGGTGGAAGGTGTCCCTGCCCATGGCAAGGCAGGGGAGCTGGATGATCACCGAAATCTCTTGCAACCCAAACCATTCTGGGATTCTAAGGCTAGAGATGTGATTCTGAGTGATGCTGTCATTCTAAGACCTGCTGATTTTTCTGTGGCAGCCCCATGCAGATTTCCAGTCTGGCATGCAGCCAGTCTAGACCACCACAGTTCCAGTTTGCCCAGCACTGCAAGTGGAATTACTCCACTTGGAAGAGCAGGACTGTCCTTATACAACTTGTGTTGGTGGCAGGGAAGTCTGGGTGTTATCAAGAAGGATGCAGGGGGTCCTTTGCTTGTGTGTGGCATTTGCTGGCAGCCTTTGCAAAGTCTTCATGGGTAAAAGAGTACCCCTGTTCCTCCCTCTGAAACACTCAGGGGTGCAAAGGAGTGCGAGGTGGGTTAATTGTGGAAAGAAGGGCCAAGCAGCAGGGATGTGAGGTGGAGTCTGGGGTGACAGAGGCAAGTTCAGGTGTGTGTGGTGGTATGAGGGGTTGTACAGGGGGTGGGAAGGGTTGCAGCAAAGGGAGAGCTGAGTTGTGGTCAGACTGACGTGGCACTCAGAGGTGGGACAGTGATCAGGGGGTGCAGGGCAAGAGCACACAGGGGATGTGTGGGCATCAGCAGGGCAATCAGTGGGGCAATGCATGATCTACAGACCAGGAGTTTAACTGAGAGCTTTGGCCCAGCCAGACCCCAAAACCACCTCCAGACCACTGAGCATCCCAGAGTCTGGGCTGACCTGAGATTGCAAGGAAAGGGGAGCACAGCTTTGTAAAAGCACAAGATTTTGGGCAATGATGAGGCAGATGCCTCATTTTAGGACATGACTGAGAATAACCTGCTCCTGTTTCAGTGTCTGTGTCATGTGGGAGTTGAGATAGGAGGCATCATGCTGAAAACTGGATTGAAAGGAGCTGGATTTTCTGTGCTGGCTTCCGCAGCCTGGAGGGCTCTGGGACTGGTGCCCGTCTCTGGCTGTCACAGTGGCTCTGACACCTCTATTTCCATCTCTATCTCTTCCCAGCGTGGCCAAAGGGAAGTACATGACTGCTCTTCTGGTGCTTGCAGATGCCCAGATCTGTTGAAAGGTCAGGAAAAGGGAGCAATTGGTGGCACTGGTGTCACAGAGCTGCCCCACGGCACCCTCTCAGCCCTGCCCAAACCTCCCAGGCTGAGGCTGAAGCTGAGAGGGAGTGCCATGGGGTCAATGCTTGCATTTGCAGCCCCACCAAAGCAGCCCTTGGTGATCCCACCAGCTCCACCTGCAGAGCACCAGACCCAGACAGCCCCTTCAGAGCGAGAGGAGCGGCTCGTTCCCAGCCAGAGTATCCCTGACAGGTCCATCCATCATCCCCCGAGCTCTGCCAGCTTATTAGCAGATGTTGTCCTGTCCCCAGAGGATGGGGAAGGAAGGGAAACAAATGGACTGAACTCCAGATGGCTGGCAGATCCCTCCCCACGCTCGCTGTTCCTGAGACAAACCTGCTGCTCCCTTGGGCAGGGAAAACAGGCAAGATGTGCTGTGCAGGCTGTGGGGATCAGTGGAAACCCCATGGAACTGAACCAAACAGGTTTGGGGTCCATCACTGGGCACTCACCCGTGCAATACAGGGCTAGAGATGTGCCCTGGCAAGCGCAGGTTTAAGTTGTGGGATTTGCAGGCTTTGCTGGTGACGCTGGGACCAGCCAGGTCTGCACAGCCTGCAAGCCCAACTGGGTGTGCAAGTCTTGAGCTGAGTGGCAGGTGAAGGGCTGCTCCTGTCCCACTTGCACTGCACAACCAGCACCATGAGATAAAACTTCAGGGACAGGCAGCCTGGGCTGGGCCGTACAGGAGAATGGCACTGGGGACAGGAGGACACCAGTGGGGACAGGAGGAACACCAGTAGCAGGACTTCTGGTGGCTCACAAAGAGGCAGGACCTGAGATCCTCAGGCACAGAGCAAGGTATCAGTTGAATAAAATAATAGGGGAAAAAAAAGAAAACCCCACCTTCTGCAGGGCTCCTGGGAGGTGGCAGTAGTTGGCTGCAGTGAAGACAGCGGGACAACCTCACTGGTGGGAGGTTCAGATTTGAGAGGTTTCTGTGTGCGCTGCCACAACCATGGCTGTGGAGCCCAGTGGATTTTATACCTGGTGCTTTTGATTGAATTCTTCCTGCTGGCCACTTCTCTGCTGTTTGTTCTTCCCAGAGTTAACCCAAGAGGTCCTGGTCCTCCACGTGTCACTGGCCTGGTGGGAGAGAGCTCAGTCCAGAGCAGGACATGCCTGGCATCCTGTACTGCCTTTCCTGTTCCTGTGAAAGGCTTTGCACATGTGTTCTGCTTCCATCTAGAGCACTGAGACACCCAGAGGTGCATGACCCCCCTGAACAGCGCCTGCCCCAGCCCCAGGTGCTCCCCAGCCCTCCCTGTGTGCTCCTGCTGTCCCTGTGCCAGGAGATGGCTCTGCCCTGGCACACAAATTCACCTGCAATTTGTCATTTAGTATAATTTTCCCCTTGAGTGCATCTAAAATAATTGTGACTCATTGCTACAGGTAATTAATGGGTTTTTTACAGCATTAAATGCTAAGTGATTACAATTGCTCCGTGCAAATCTGCTGTGCTTCGTGCTCCCATCCTTCCTGCTGCCTGTCTCTCCATACCTGAGGTAGCACTGATTTCTCTGCCCTTAATTAAATATTGGTGGAAGGGAACCACTCCAGTTCCTCTGGACTCACGAGTCCCTGGTTGCTGGTTGCTGCATGGTTAGAGATGGGGGTGGTTTGCAGGTCCAAGGGAGGTTCACACAAGTTGAGGGCAGCAGTTCCCACCCTGCATCTGCCCAGGACCAGCTGGGGCTGTCCCACTGCTCGGCTCCCATCCCTGCTCATTCTGTGTCTTCATCCTTTCCCACACGGAAAAAAAAATGGGAAATTTTCTTTCTTACAGATTTGCTTTGTTGTTTGGTTTTGTGTTTTGTTTTCCACCAGCTGGCTACCTCCCAGATTTGTCACCACCTGAGAACAGGGTGCATCAGCACTCGTCTCAGTCTTACACCCAAAACCAAAGGGTTGCAGACCAGAGGACACTTGGCAAGGGTAGAAAGTCCCTGAATCTCTTGGCACGTGGTTTCATCATGACCAGTCAGCACAGGAGCCTGGCAAATGTCCTGGGCTGTCCTTGGCGTGGCTGGCAAGGGACAGCAAACCTCTCCCCAGATCTGCATCCCCCATGTTCCCTCCTCTTCTGATGGCCTTGAGGAGGTGAAAGGTGCCAGGAGAGCACCTGGGGAGCAAAGCCACCCCCCAGGCTGCTGCAATTTCACATCTGCCTTCCCTTGGATCCCCAAGTTCGGGCATTTCTGCTCCTTGCTCCGATGCCCTTTGGGGAGGGCCTCTGGCACGTGCAGCACTGGTGGTATCACTCCCCTGCTGTTAAAGGAGCACTTGGTGCAAAAGTGCCACAGAAACTGGTGACAGAGTCTGAAGAAGGACCAGCAGGAGGTCTCCACCCCAGGGGTGTGTGTGGCTGGAACACTGCCTTCAGCTGCCACTGCTGAAGTAGTTCAGGTATAAAAAGGCTCCTGCATTACTGGGCAGCGTGTGATGGGTGGAATATGCCAGTCCAGGGAGATCCATGTCAAGAAAAAGAGTGTTTATTAAAAAGAAAATGAAATCAGCACCAAGAAACAAAACAAACAGCAAGGAGGGACCCAGCCCACTGGGGAGGTGGATCACAAACAAACCCTTTCTAAGATGCTTGGAAGCAAAAATTGAGGCTGTATGCAGATCTGGCCACTGGAGGTAAAGACAGGAAAATGAAGATATTACTACCTCAGTGGGGAAAGCAGAGATGAGTCAGAGCCAGGAATAATCCTTGAATCACTGTAACCGGTCCTAAAAGTACTCCATGAGTACTGGGACCCAGACAGAGCCTGCTCTTCCTTATTTGGAATCTAAATCTGCAAGAGAGGGCAGATCCTTCCGCCCCCAGATACCTGACATGCCACATGTCACTCTTGAACGAATCGATTTTCCTAACGAGAGACGAGCTGTTTGTTTGTGTGACAAATGATCTACCCGAGGGGCTGCTGGGAAGCTGGAGGAGGGGGGGGATAGGATGGAGCAGAGTCCTGGCGTGGGACGAGCTCCTGCATCGGGAGGAGGCAGAGAAACTGCAGGCAGGTTGTGTTGTCGGCGGGGAAAAAAAAGAAAAAATTATTTTTTTCAAGGCTGGCTCGTTTGTCCTCACTGTCCCTCCACAGAGAGTGGGCAGTGGGCTCCCTGTCCTTGGGCCAGACAGTGGCTGCACTGGGGAGAGCTTTGGACAGCAGGCACAAGGGAAACATTTCCTGGAGCTTCGCAGGCGGCTCAGGAGAGGCAGGGACACCCAAGTTAGCTTGTGGAGCAGTGGGGAACGGGTGCCAGGATGGCAGTAGGTGCAGCCTTGGGGGGCCAAAAGGTTTTCACAGAGCCCAAAGCCAAGCCCAGGGCGCAGGGGAGAAGAGCTGTTTTCCCACGCACCAGCTGAGAGCGCGGTCCACCTCTGTGCCGGCGGGATCCCCCTCGTCCCGGCGCATCCCCCTGAACCTCTGCCCTTCCTCCCCTGCAGCCTGCCAGCTGGGATTTTACAAGTCGTCCCCCGGGGACCAGCTGTGTGCCAAGTGCCCCTTGCACAGCCACTCGGAGAGCCGGGCAGCCCGGGTGTGCCGCTGCGACAGCAGCTTCTACCGGGCGGTGCAGGACCCTCCCTCGGCCGCCTGCACGCGTGAGTAACCCCCACCCCGAGGATCCCCTGCCCCCCTGCCCTGGTGGCCACCCAGGCTATCCTGGGGCAGCCGGCACGTCCTGGCGCTTAGCAGATGCTCCCTGCCCGAGCCTGGCTCGCCCCTGCCCCTGTGCACGCTGCCCCAGGAGCTCTGGAACCTTCCTAGAGCCTTTACAACCCTCACTGCCTCTGTGTCGTCCTCATCCTCACCCTGTGTCGTCCTGCTCTCCAGGCATCCCTGGCCAGAGTCTTAGAATTGTGGGATCGTTAAGGCTGGAGAAGCCTCTAAGATCATCAGGTCCATCCCAGCACCACCACGACATTCACCACTAAATCACGTGCCCAAATGGCATATCCACAAGTTTTTTGGACGCTCCCAGGGATCCTGACTTCACCACTGCCCTGGGTAGTCTGTTCCAATGTCTGACCGCCCTTTCTGTGAAGAAATTTTCTCTTATACCCAATCTCGGCCACCCCTGGCACAACCTGAGGCTGTCTCCTCTGGTCCTGTAACTTATTCCCTGGCAGAAGAGACCAACACAGCCCTACCCCCTCCTCCCCCTCCAGCTCCAGCCTTTGCTGCTTTCCTTTGCAGAAGGGCACCAAGTGGTCACACACCCCGGGCAGCCACTGGGGCAGCTCAAGTGTTGCTTCTCTGTGGGTGTACAGGGACAGCAGGGCTTGTCACAAGGCGTCAGCTCAGCTCTCTGCAGTTGGCTCTTTTGAGGGGCCCAGTGCTTTTAAAAGGGGACAAGGACATCCCAGGAGGAATCCTCCTTTCTGTAGTTGGTCCAGGAGGACACAAAGGCGTGGGGCTGATGGCTGAGGTCAGGGTGAAAGAACAGGTCAGCAACATCTGACTTGTGTTTCCCTGAGGGATATCCACCCAAGTTTATTAATCTTCCCAGAAAATGTGAGTTTTCCCTCCCCTTTAGATGAGCATGTCCAGCTCATCAACACCTTGGCTTTTCCTCCAAAAGCTTCACGCATCACCACTGCTTCCTGCTGAAGCAAACTGAACCAACATCCGCTCTTGCTGTCTGACATTTGGCATCCCAAGCCATGGCACTTCACCCTGAGCCCTGTCTGTGTCTTTGCTGCCTTTTGTTCAGAGCTCTCCTGTCTCTAGGCAGTTCTGTGTTCCCCGTTTGCACGCTCAGGTGCAACCCAAAACGCCAAGGCGCGCCTCTCCGTTGGTCCCAAGCTCCACCATTCCCAACACCCTGCTCTACCTGAACCCCCTCCTCTCTCTCCCAGGCCCTCCCTCTGCTCCTGTGAACCTGATCTCCAGCGTGAACGGCACCTCGGTGACGCTGGAGTGGGGGCCCCCCCTGGACAAGGGGGGCCGTGCCGACGTGGTGTACAACGTGCTGTGCCGGCGCTGCGCGGGGGACGCGGGGCCGTGCGAGGCCTGCGGCAGCGGCATCCGCTTCATGCCCCAGCAGATGAGCCTGGTGCAGGGAGCGCTGACCGTCACCAACCTCCTGGCACACACCAACTACTCCTTCTGGGTGGAGGCGGTCAACGGCGTCTCCGACCTCAGCCTGGAGTCCAGGAGAGCCGCGGTTGCCAACATAACGACGAACCAGGCAGGTAGGAGGAGCAGACACCCCACCCCGTCTCCAGGCTCTGCCTCTGTGGGCGAGGCTGATGTTGCTCTGATGTCGCTCCAGTATCTGCACGAGCCACAACCTGCTCTGACAGCAAGGGGCTGGTTTGGTGGTGGGCTTGGGAACCCCGGGAGATGTGACCCCTGTCCTCTCTGCTGCCGGAGGTGGGTTCAGGGAGCTGAGGTGGGACAAGTTGCTGCCCGAGGCACCTCTTACCCTCCTCTGGTTCGTGGTGTCCTTTTTCCTCCTCCTCCTTTCCTTCCAGCTGCTGTTGGAGGCTCCTTTTCTGCAGGAGACAGGGGGCACAGAGAACACTTGTTTATTGACAGGAACACTAAGTGGAGCATGAATCTTTCAGGCTATTCCTCCAGCCTTCCATCACTTCCCAAAGGGTCGGGCAGCAGTTCGTGCTCTGCTCTTAACTCACACCAGTGCCAGGCCCTGGCAGGTGACAGCAGTGTTTGCTGGGAAAAGTATCTCCTGTGCATGTCTTACCTCTGCAAATTCCCTGCTGCAAAATACTCTTTCCCCACAGAATTCCCCTGAGCAGTGCTCCAGCCCAGGTGGGACAGGACTTTGCTCCACCGTCACCTGGGCATCTCCCAGAGCCCTTTTCCACGGAACGTGTTGTGGGCAGGGAGATCAGGGCAGGGACTGACACGCCTTGTTAATCCTCCCAGCTTGAAATGAGCCCACAGGAACTTCCTGTGATGCTGAGCAACTTCTGCTCTCATGGCAGGGGTGGTCAGTGGGAGAAACTTGGGGGGCTCGCTGCAGTAGCTTATGGTTGGCATGAGAACAGGCCCTTTTTTCACTGATGCCAGCCCGTGGCACTTGTGCAGCACGTGGAGTTGGCTCAATCCTGCTGGCTTGATCCCTCCTGAGGAACCCCTGATGCACTGCATGGGGGTCCTGCCCATGCTGGGTGCTGGTCACCCTTGTCCTCCAGCCTGGATGGCTGAGCAAGGCTGAGGCAGATGCAGCACAGATGCCCTGGGGCTGTTTGGAGTGATGGCATTGCATGTGCCTGTGGAGTTTAACCAGTTCCCACCATCCCACCCTGTCCCATCTGCCCAGGGTACTGTGCACCAGCAGCATTTTCAGCTTTTCAGAGGAGGCAGAACTGAGCTGAAACTGCTGCTTTTCAGTCCCTGGGTGCCTCACTGCTGCTGCTGCAGCCTTTGTGGCCTCTTTTGGTCTCTGTGCTGCTCCAATGACACCCCTGTACTGCAGCCACAGCAGCTCTGTCTTCCCTGGAGCTGCCACATCCCATTTTCCCCCATCAGTTCAGCACTCAGGAGGTACCTGAACCCTTCCTGTTAGTTGAACCCAATGGCTGCACCTGGCCATCACAGCACCGACTGCACTCTCTGGGGAACTTCCAGTGGGAAATTTCCCAGTGGGAAAAGAGGCTGGTGAGTTGGTTCCTCCAGCTGTGGCAGCTCCAGCTGGGGCATGGCAGGTTCAAGAACTGATTCACAGTCTCCCAGTTCAGGCATGGGAGGGTGACAAGCATCCCAGGGCAGGAGAGCACACCCAGGACACCTTTAGGCTCATGCTCAGACCCCGACCACCCCTCTGGGCATTTATCATCTCCCTGTTCTTTCTTCCCCTGCTCCCCATGTGGGACAAGACGGGTCAGGGTCTTGGTAGAGACCTCCATGACCTCCAACCACACTGCCCCTTCTCTTTTCTGGCTCCAGATCACAACAAAGCACCAGTGTCCCCTCCTGCCTGTGCTGTGCCCTCCACTCATCTTCCCAGAGCTGCTCACTCCATGGGAAAGAGAGTGAGGGAGCTGAATCAAGGAAAAGCCTGTTTTCAACTCCCATCACAGCACTTGTCTTCACATGGCTTTAATTAAACCAGAAACCTGGTTTAAACCAGGTGTCCTGTCCCTGGGGCTCCAGTTCCACCCTTCCCTGCTGCTGTCTCCTGCTGTCCCCCCCATCCACAGTACCCCTCTCATCAGACACCTCACGCGCTGTGTCTGCGTTCCCAGCCCCGTCACAGGTGGTGGTGGTGCACCAGGAGAGCACGGGCCAGAACAGTGTCACCTTGCTGTGGCAAGAGCCAGACCAGCCCAACGGCATCATCCTGGAGTACGAGATCAAGTACTACGAGAAGGTAACCTGCTGCTGCACACCAGTCCCTGCCATCAGCCAGCCTTGCACGAGGGGCTTCTCTGGAAGGCTCTGTGGTCGCTGTGCTGATGCAGTGAGGTTTTTTTGGTGGTGGGGTATTTTTTTTTTTTTTTCCCCCCCAGGACAAGGAAATGCAGAGCTATTCGACTCTGAAGTCCAAGAGCACCACTGCCACCATCTCTGGGCTCAAGCCCGCAACCCGCTACATCTTCCAGGTTCGGGCTCGCACCTCGGCCGGCTGCGGGAGGTTCAGTCAGACTGTGGAGGTGGAAACGGGGAAGCCAGGTGAGTGTGTGCAGTTTTTGCATGTGGGAGGATGGTGATGCCCTTCCCCATGGCCATGGTTCCTCTGTCACATGGGCAGGGAGGCACATCTCTCCCAGCATTTCAGCCTGCAGGGATTGCTTTGAGGTTGCCTCCCTCGGACGCTTAGGGCAAGAGGAAACAGCGTCAAGTTGCAGCAGGGAACGTTTAGGTTGTATATTAGGAAACATTTATTCACTGAAAGGGTGGTCTGCCACTGGAGCAGACTGCTCAGGGCACTGGTGGAGTCACCATGCCTTGGAAGTGTTTAAAAGGGCACGTGCATGTGGCACTTGAGGACAAGGTTTAGTGATGGGCTTGGCAGTGCTGGGTTAATGGTTGGACTTGGTGATCTTGGAGGTCTTTTCCAAACTCAATGATTCTGTGATTCTGTGCTTCTACACTAGAAAGAAGAGGGAGGAAGGACTCAGCAGTCAGGGCAGGGAAGACCTGGAAAGGTCCTGGGGCATCAAGCTCCTCTCTCTGCTGGTTTGCTGTGTTACCATGTCTTTCTTATATCTCTGCTTAGTTTCCCCATGTGGAAATGGTCCCTATATGCTGGGAGAGACCCAAAACTGGGAATGGATAGGGATAGCATTTCATCCATGACCCTACTGTGGTAGATACATTCCTGAGCTCAGCAGAGCATTCCCCACCCCAGCTCACCTCCATCCCACCCTGCCTCTCCCAGTGTCCCTCCGCTACGACACGATGACAATCGTCTGGATCTGCCTGACACTCATCACTGGCCTCGTTGCCTTGCTGGTGGTCCTGATCTGCAAGAAGAGGTAAATGTTTTCTGCAGGCCAGTGGGGGGTCTTCTGGACATCCCCAAGAGGGACAGGATGGGGTGGGAGAAGTTGAGCACAACTTTTCTCCTTTCAATTTTCCCAGAGCATCCACAGGTCAGGGGTTAATAAGCCGCCAAGAGACTTCATTTAGGGGTCACCAGTTTCCCTGAGGCAGAACCAGTCTCCAGATCTTCCCCTCGTGCCAGCAAGCAGAATAGCAATAAATTAGTATATATACACTATAATATACGGAATATCAGTGGCACTAGCTGTAGCAATACTAGTAGCAGTACTACTACCAGTGCAAGGGCTGACTGGGTGGGCTGGGAGGTAGGTGAGGAGTGGAGAGAGCTTTTCTCCCTCAGACAGATCCAAGGAAGACTGTGCTACATGGCTCCTCCTGGGCTGCCCACAGCCCTGGCAAGCACTGCCTTTCACCCTGCCTTTGGGATGCTTGTAAGGGACAGGGGCATCTCTTCTGACTCTTGTCCCCCCGTGGCAGGCACTGTGGGTACAGCAAGGCTTTCCAGGACTCTGATGAGGAGAAGATGCATTATCAGAATGGGCAAGGTAGGACTATCCTTGTGAAGGACTCCAGCCCCCTGGGTGGGCACAGAGCTGGGCTGTTACCCCCTGAGATTGCTGTGGTTTCCAGGGGAAGGGTTTTGACTCCTGCCTGCTTCTGTGAACGTGTCTTAGGAGAGCTAACTGGGGCCTCTGGTTCCAGGGGCATCCTGGTAATGGGGTGGAAGGGTTGAAGAATGTGCCATGAGACTGAAGCAGGATCATCCCAGACAGCAGGGATGGGGAGTGGGTGGTGATGGAGAGGACCTGCTAGGCCAAAGAGTGACTTAGGATTCCTTGGGCTGCTCCCCTGTGACCCCTCAACCTGCTGACCCTCCAAGTCCTGCCCCTGCCCATCCTCTGCCCAGCTGCTGGGTGCCCCTCCTTCCCCATGGGGCTGCCTGAGAGAGCTGTTCTCCTCTCCCCACTTTGAAACCCGGCAGTGAAGTTCCCCGAGTCCAAGTTCTACGTGGACCCCCACGCCTACGAAGACCCCTGCCAAGCCGTGCACGAGTTCACCCGTGAAATAGAGGCCTCCCGCATCAAGATCGAGAAGGTCATTGGGTCTGGTGAGTTCCTGGGGCCCAGCTGCCTCTTCACAGCACGTCTGCCCCGGGGAAATCCACGATCTGAGGCTGTGCCGTGCCCGTGGCCCGCTGGGACCGCGGTGGCGCGCTCGGCTAAGGGGGCTTCATCTGCTCCTTATCCTTGTGAGATCAAAAATCCGTGGACAGAGCGGGGGGTTTTGGTGCGTGAAATGAGCCCTTTGGAAGCAGCCTGGTGCCAGGGGGGCTGCCTGTCAGCAGGTGTGGCACCGGCGGCTCGGGCTGACACAGCAGATGGCTCGGCCTGCCCCGTGCGGGTGCTCCAACGTGCCACCCTGCCTTGAGACCTGGGGTGACAGGATGCAAATGAAACTGTAAGCGAAGCGGTGGATTTTCAGAACAGAAGGGGATTTTGCACAGGAGCGGGGCTTGCAGGCAAGCACGGGGCAGAGATGGAGCTGGAACTTCACTAGCAGCACCCCAAGGGCTGAACCCATGAGGAAGCCTGGATGGGGGTCATCCTTGCTGCTCTGACACTCCCGAATTTGTTCATTAAAAGCAAGGGCTGCTGTAACCACAGCGCTTGGCCCATCGCCCTTAGGAAAAGGCAGCAGAGAGAGGTGATTTCTGATGTTCTCACCCTTCCAGCATTGGGCGATCCTTTCAGAGGACTGAATCCTGGCAGGGTTGGAGGGGGTTGAAATCCACAGTGAAATCCAGAGGGGCTGGGAGCGTGCTGGTAGACCGGATGATTCATGGTGTTGGTAAGTGAGTGCGAGCAGCTGAGGAGCTCTCCACGCCCTCACCTTGCCTTGTCTTGCAGGGGAGTCTGGAGAGGTGTGCTATGGCCGCCTGAAGCTGCCAGGGAAGAGGGAGATTCCCGTGGCCATCAAGGCACTAAAGGCAGGCTACACGGAGAAGCAGAGACGGGACTTCCTGAGCGAGGCCAGCATCATGGCGCAGTTCGACCATCCCAACGTCATCCACCTGGAAGGGGTGGTGACCAGGAGTATGTGGCTGGCAGGGATGGTGGGGCAGAGCTGGGATGTTATCTGCCTGTGGGCAACCTGAGAGATGTGGGTCAGGGCTCACTTTGGGTGCACTCCATCCCTCAGCTGCCCCAGTGGCTTTCCAGATGTCCATTTACCTGCGGTGCCCTCCACCCCACCCCTCTGCCATCTCTTACAGGACAAACTTCCCAGTGGTGGTTCCACACCTTGCTCCTCGGTGTGCTCCAGGTCAGGGTTATTGGTCTGGGAGATGTCCTGCTCAATAGTGTTTATTTTAAAGGCTGCCTGTATTGAATCATAATTTGAAAGTCCTCCTTCAGAAAGGCACATTCTGATGCAAGGCGTTATGCTAATGGCATGCAAATTTCAGCAGGATAACAAAGCTGAGCTATCCACATCAGTAGCACCTGGAGGGTGGGGGGGTACCTGTCTGGGTTACTGCCACATCCCCACTGTTGTGCCAGCGGTGCCCAGTGCAGGGCTGAGACCACTCTGAGGCGCTGCATGAGACCCACAGGCTTGGATTCACATCTCTCCCAGTAAAAACTTGGCACTTGGCTTCCCAGAGGAAGGTGACTTCTCTGCTAACTTGACCTCCCTTGTCTTCTGCAGGCAAATTGGTAATGATTGTTACTGAATACATGGAGAACGGCTCGCTAGACACCTTCCTCAGGGTAAGGAGCAAGGCTGTGTTTTTATTCATTGCACATCCCCCTGGGCTGCAGGAAAGGCTGGTTCCTTGTCCTCAACCTCACAGCCACTGCAAGCCCTGTGGGAAAGCTGTGTGTGCTGGGCTCTCACCTCTCCAGCAGACACAGGCTCCAGGCATCACGTCTGGCTCCCTGGAGTGGCACTGGGAAGGCAGGGACAAGTGCCTGAGCACATGTCAGGGGTGCTGGGAGGGCAGGAAGTGGGCAGGGGACAGGTGGGAGGCACTGAGGTCGGAGGAGGTACTAAGGCAAAGATGGGAGGCACTGGGAGGGTGAGGGGGCTGTTTTAATGACAGCAGCAGCAACAGGATGCTGGTGAAAATCACGCATGAAACTCTGGTGTTTCTTTCCCTTCCAGAAACACGACGGGCAGTTCACCATCATCCAACTGGTGGGGATGCTGCGTGGCATCGGAGCGGGCATGAGGTACCTGTCGGACCTGGGCTACGTGCACCGGGACCTGGCTGCCCGAAACATCCTGGTCAACAGCAACCTGGTCTGCAAAGTGTCCGACTTCGGCCTCTCCCGCATCCTGGAGGACGACCCCGATGCTGCCTACACCACCACGGTGGGTGGCTCCCTGTGTTGGTCCTTGCTGGCTGTTACTGCCCTGACAGAGGGAAAAGTTGGAGACTCTTAGGTCAAAATAGGGAGGGCAGAAATGGCAGTGTCACCTCGGTGCTGATGTTTGAGCCAGCAGCTCAAACCCAGAGAGCTTCGGAGCCTCGATGCGTTGTCCTTCACACAGGGACGTCCCAGAACTGAGAGTGCAGTGAACAGAGAAGCAGGATGTGAGGGCAGGGAATTGATAAACATCCCTGGCCAACTGCTCCTGTGGGCCCATGTGGCCTACATGTCCCTGCTGGAGTCCTTCCCAAGACTGTGTAGCTCCATTCACTCCTCATCGGTCCTAGAACCGTTGGTCCATAGGTTAATATCCTAGTCCACTCTTCAGTGGCCACACACTAGTTTTAACATGTGACTCTGCCTCATTCATGGGTGTGGGAAAAGTGGGAATTGTTTTTGCAACCTGTGATTTTATGTAGGACGCTTTTGTCTGTGAAGCCATTCTGAGATCTTTCTGGCCAACCCAACAGCTCTGGAGCTTAATGTGCTCCTCCATGGGAGGTCAACAGAAGCAAAATCAAATACATTTTCATGAAATACATAAATTACATTAAATATAAAGAGCTCTTTTTGCTCTTCTCTGGCCGTGAAAAGAATTAGTGTGGTTCCCTGGCACACCTCTGGGGGATGGCATACCATTCCTGCCCCAGATGCTCTGGGAACCACTCAGTGTGGTTCCCTACCCCACAACTTTCTTCTTCAGGTGGCTGGTAACCGCATTTCCAGCTTAAGTCTATTCTTAGTCCATCTGTTGCTGATTTTTGTCAGCATGGTCCTTTAACTCAACACGCCATCCTCTTCAGTGCTTGCCTGCCAAAGCAAGGATGAACAGGGAGTACACTCCATCCCTTTCCTTGTCTGCTCAAGTCAGGCTCTCTGCCCACACCCAAGGTCAGCTCTGTGCTTGCGTGCTCTGGTAGCCCTGGGGTCCACTTCATCACTTTGAATTCCCGTCTCCTGAGCACAGAGGGGCAGAACCGTGCAGGAAGACCTTGCAAAACAGGCGCGGTGTTCTCCTTGCTCTACTGGAAACACCTTGAAGTCATCCTTCACTTACACTTCCAGGCTCATCTCGTGTGGGTTGTCCCCCTCAGTCCTTTCCAGAAGACGCCACCCCAGCCTTTTTGCTTGTCCCAGACTCAGAGGGTCGGGATGCCAAGCGCTGCCTGCTCTCAGCCCCCACTGTTGCTCGCTTTTCCAGGGGGGGAAGATCCCCATCCGCTGGACGGCCCCGGAGGCCATCGCCTACCGCAAGTTCTCCTCGGCCAGCGACGTGTGGAGCTACGGCATCGTCATGTGGGAGGTGCTGGCCTACGGCGAGCGGCCCTACTGGAACATGACCAACCGGGACGTGAGTGGGCGCGGGGCGGCGTGGGGACCAGCCTGCCCCTCCTCCGGCCCTGCCCCTGGCCAGCCCGGCACGGGGATGGGCAAAAGGGGCCCCAAGGTCAGCTCTGGCCTCTCCTCATGCCCCCCACAGGGCTGTGCACAGTGAGCCTGTCCCCTCATCGTGGGGACATCGGAGCGCTGTCCATGCCTGCACTCTTTGCCAGCCCCGTGGCTCCACTTGGCAAGGTGACCCAAGTGACCAAACCTACCTGCTGGCCCTTTCCAATCCTGCCCCAGTTCCTGGGGACACTGGTCCGAGCCCCTGGTATGAGGGAAGCCCCTGCCATCCTGTCTGTGTGTCCCCAGCCCTGCCTGCTGCTCTGGACAAGCCTTTTATGCCGGCTAGAGAGATTCAGCACATGTTGTGCCAACATTCCCAGTCCCTGGAAGGAGTCAGGGATTCCCTGGGATCGCTGCAGTCCCACTGCATGAGCCAGCCAGTCCCAGTGCTGAGAGTCCATCCCTTCCACTGCCCAGGTGGGGCTGCTGAAAGCCTCGGGCTGGCACCACCCAGCTGTAGGTTTTGGGCTTGTCTGAGATATGTGGGGCCACTCTCACCTCAAGAGTAGCATAAAATCTGTAGAGAAATGTAAGTTATAATCCTGACTACAACCTGGGGTCAAAATTTCCAAAAGGAGGCAATAAAACAAGTATTTTGACTCCTTTTTTTTTTTTTTTTTTTACCTGTGAGGACTGTAAGCTTCTCCCTGCTTTGGGAGTCCTGAGAGCCCCCACTTTTCCTGGTGTTTTTATTACTTTAAAAGTGGCTTTGGTGACAGCAAGGCATGAATGCAGTGGCTTACACTATGTCCCCCCACACAATTCCTTCGAGCAGGTTTTCTTCCGGCCTTGATGGGGAGTGGCTGTAAAACAACTGAGTGTGAGTGCAGCCCTTGTGGCTTGTCTGCTGGAGGGAAGCTGCAATATTTTTAGGCCACTGGACCTCTAAAAAGCTCTGCTGCCATGTCAGTGATTTCCTACACAGAAAATTCACTGTGAGCATGAAGCTTAGCTCTGCTCCCCGTGTGACGGGGAGCATCACACAGCAGCTCAGGCATCAGAGATCTTCCCACATTAGGGGGTTGCTGGGAGCGGGGTTGGGGTGCAGCTCCACCGCTGGTTGTGTGGCTTCCTTGCAGGTCATTAACTCCGTGGAGGAAGGCTACCGCCTGCCTGCCCCCATGGGCTGCCCCACCACCCTGCACCAGCTGATGCTGGACTGCTGGCAGAAGGAGCGCAGCGAGAGGCCGCGCTTCTCCCAGATCGTCTGCATCCTGGACAAGCTGATCCGCAACCCCGACAACCTCAAGTGCACGGCCACCATCAACAGGTGAGGGCACAGCACGTGGGTTTGTGGGGATAAAGGATGTTTCTGCTCAGCTCCAGCACTGAGGGCTTCCCTTGAGGCCACAGGCACGCACAGGGCCCAAGGGCACAGGCTGTGCCAGGAGATCAGGGCAGTGAGCGTCCCCCCATGCTGGGCACTAATAAGGCACCTTGAATCCCGGGGTCAGTTTTAGACCCCTCATGACAAGATAGACATTGAAGGGATGGAGTGTGTCCAGAGGAAGGTAATGGACCTGGGAGGGGGTCTGAAGAGTCAGTCATATGGCTGAGGGAGCTGGGGGGGCTCAGCCTGAAGGAAAGGAGGCTCAGGGGAGACTTTCTTGCTTTCTCCAACTCCCTGACAGGAGGAGGGAGCCAGGCGGGAGTTGTGCTCTTCTCCTGGGGAACAAGTGACAGGACAAGAGGAAACAGCCTCAAGTTGTGTCAAGGGAGGTTTATATTGGATACTGGGGAGAATTCCTTCATGGAGAGGGTGGTCAGGCACTGGCACAGGCTGCCCAGGCCAGTGGTAGAGTCACCATCCCTGAAGGGACTTAAAAGATGTGTGGATGTGGCCCTTGGGTCCATGGTCTGGTGGTAAACTTGGCAGTGCTGAGTTAATGGTGGGATTCAGTGACCTTAGAGGGCTCTTCCAATCTCAGTGATTCTGCGATTCTGCAGGTGCACTGGGGTTGGACCTCACAGCCTGGTCACCTCAGACCGACACCTCCCAGTCTGACCCCTTCTGTCCTGCTCCCAGGTTCACCCAGACACGCTCGGACAGGGGTCTCCTGGACCTGACCAGCTGCTTGACTGTGGAGGACTGGCTGGACTCCATCCGGCTGGGGCACTACCGGGACAACTTTGCCATGGCCGGGTACTCCTCCCTGGGCATGGTGATGCGCATGAACATCGAGTGAGTGCCAGGGAGCAAACAGCGCTGGTTGAGTGCCCCTGCGCCAGCTCACCAGCCCCAAACAGTGACCCTTCTGCCTCAGCTGGCTTGCTCTGGTTGGTCCCTGGTGCCTTACCACATCCCTAGGGAAATGGTGTTGGGACCTGGGGCAACGCCCAGGGCCGTGCTGAGCTTTGAGAGAAGGTGTGGGAGTTGCACTGAGAGAGTGTGAGTACCAGCTCACCTCCTGTGGGTCTCCAGCATCGCCAGAGGCCCATAGGTAATTTGGGTGCTTCAGGAGGTCACTTAACCCACCCTCCTGGTCACAGCAGGGACAGGCAGGAGGTTGCTGACTCCCTGTGCTTCTCATCTTCACTTCCTCTGCAAAAGGCATTTCTGGACCAGAGTGTGACTGTGCCATAGGGCACAGCTTCTCTGGGATCACCAGGAAACACATGGAACTGGGGGTTACCTTGGAGCTTTTTTAGACCCCCAAAAACAGGACTGGCTCCCTGCCCAGTGCAGCCAGGCAGGGAGGCACCAAGTGGGAGGTCTTTGACACATAACCAAGGCTAGCTTAAGTAATGAGCACAGGTGAAGATGTGTCCCACCATCCTCCTCTTCCTGCTGTAAGGAGCTTGATCTCCCACCTATCTGGGGAGTTTTCAGGCTGCAACATCCAAGTGGTACCAGAAAAGAAGGCAATTATACCTGCTCCTACCCTAGTCTTACATCCTCCATCCCTTGTTACCATTAGTAACAGGGTTGGCAACAACCTCTTCTGCCTCCGAGGAGACTTGTTCCCTGTCAAAAGGCTTGGAGCTGCTGGATGGTGGTCCCTGTGGCTCAGGAAGGACACGCCAGTGGACACCTTGGTCGAGGTGTGGCAGGTGGAGAAGGAGGCAAGGAAAGGGAAGAGAGACAGAGGGGCTGTCATGGGCATCGATCAGGGGCTGCACACAGGGCCTCTGCTGTGGGATTGAGCTGATAGTGATCCTTGTTTCTCATTCACATCAGGGAAGCTTTTGAGTGCGGAAGGCTCATCATTCATCTGTCTTTCTGACTGGGTTATCTGAGGGCATCTCACTAAAACTGAATCCAATTTCGGAGCATCGATCTTGTCACCTACCAGCCTGTCAGGAGCGATCCCCCTCCTGCTCCTGCTCCCCCCAGGGCTGTCACAGTGGCCCTGTCAGGAAGATGTGCCCGAGGGAATGGCAACCTCTGCGTCTGGGAGGATGCCCACAGACCCTCAGCAGGACCAGCCTTGTGCTGATGGGCAGGGGGAGAAGGAGCCAGGCCTGGGCTCCCAGGGTGGTCCATGGGGTGCAGTTGTCACCACGGGGCCTGGCACAGGTGTCTCTGTCTGGCAGTGTCTTTGTTCTCCAGGGACGTTCGGAGTCTGGGCATCACCATGATGGGCCACCAGAAGAAGATCTTGAGCAGCATCCAGGCCATGAGGTCCCAGCTGCTGAACACAAATGGCCCCAGGAGACACCTCTGATCGCCAGCTGCGCAGACCCACCTCGGGCATTCCTTAACACTTACCCTGGCAAAGGGGCAGCAGGGTAGTGAGCAGGAAAAGGGGCACCAGACCAGGAGCTGGAACCCTGCCAGCATCTCTTTGATTTCAGCATCGGTGGAAACGTGGCATTCCAGATACCTCGGCGGTCCTGCTGCCTCCTTCCCCCACCTGAAGGGGGGAGCAGCCTTCCAAGTGGGCTGGGGACATGCCATGCCTCTCTGCTATGTCCCTGTGGGACTGGGGGTCTCCACACCACTGTGCAGGACAGGTGGAAACCCCTCCACACGGCTGCACCTTCAGGCACATCAGCAATACCAGGGGTATCAGGCACATCAGCAATACCAGGAGCAGTGGGACTGGGCTTGCCATGGCACACAGCTCCTTTGGATCAGGCAGCTGGGGTGTTCCTTGGATCCCTGAACTGAGCAGGGCTTCACAGGCTGCCACACAGCCTCTCAGTACCTCCCAGTGTACTCCAGCCTGGACATCCTGAACTGCACTGGCCTCCAGGTGACTTTGCAGTCCATCTCTGCCAGGGGACAGAGTACAAGGTGGCAGTGCCAGCCAGGAACAGCTGGCTCTGCCTCCAGAGGAGACTTCCCAGCATGGAGGAGAGTTGTCCAGGGCCTGCTACCTGGAGCCTGAAGAAGTCACCAGGGTGCAGCAGGACACTCTCCACCTCTTCAACCCACCAGCACAGTTTCTCCTTGGACCCAGCACAGCCAACCAGGGCAGCCCAAGCACATTTTCTAGGACCACAAGCTCAGGCTTCTCCCCCAGAACAGAGAAGAGTGGGAGGCTGTGCTCCCATCTTACATGATGGAGGGACAGAGAAACTTCTGCCAAACTCTTCCTTGTTTTTATGCTACCCTAGAGAAACCCAAGAGCTGTGCCATCACAAGGCTGCCTTGTGCCCAGGGCTGCCAGGTCACCTGCAGAGTGGGGTCCTGCCAGCATTTCCAGCTGCAGAGTCCTGTGTCTGGGGACAGGGGCTCTCCACCACTACCCAGCTGGTGACCCCAGTGACTGGGAAGGTGGAGGGTCCTCCACTTCCCTCCTCTTCCCCACAGGGGCATCTCTTTGGGCAAGTTTGCCTGGTGCTGAGCCGTGGCCTCTGAAAATGTGTGGAGCTGGTCCAAGAGGCTGATCTGGCTGCAGAGCTGCAGATGAACCGGGGAGAGGGGCAGGCTGTGGGCTGGGAAAGTTTCTTCTGGGTGTAAATACAATTTTCTATGGGTTTGGGAACTGTTTTACTGAAATAGGAAGTTAAGTACACAAAAATGGTCTCAAAGCACAGAAGCCTCAGTTGTGGGGCTGAACTCACTGCAAAAAAAAAAAAAAAAAAAAAAATCTGCTGGGAGCGTGGCTGGGGAGTTGGGGCTGGAGAGGAGAAGGGCTGGAGGGGAGCCACACTCACTGCCAGGGTCCAGCCTGGCCCACAGCACCCCGTCCTTAGCACTGGCACAGCAAACCCAGCATCACTTCAATGCAGGTAGTGGTAGGACCTGGCTGTTCCTCCCAGGGCTGTTTGGGCACGAGGGGAGGGTGGGGGGTGGGTTAAAGCCATTTCTCAGCTGCAATAATCCTGGCTAAACTGGCCTTTCCAGGGCTGGCTTGGCTTTCCACGCAGGAAATGTCCTGATGGATCCTCTGACTACGGCGGGCACTTTACTTCTTCCTATGGAAGCTTTTTTTGTAACGGGGGACAAGATGCAATGTGTTGTTTCATTTGTACTGCACCCTGAGTCCTGCACTCAGCCCTGTCCCACCCCCTCCCTGCAGCTCGGGCAGAGTGACAGCAGAGTGACAGAGGGTCAGCAGCACGCGGTGGTGGGCGCTGGCCACGTCCTCCCTTCCCAACATTTGGGACTCCCTGGAGGGTGAGTAACTCTCTGGTGAGAGCAGAGGTCGGACCAGTGTCCTGGGGGGGTTTGCTGGGCAGCTCTGGCCGGGTGGGCTGCAGGATCTGAGGTTGGGAGCTGCCAGATGGCCCCTTTCCGGGTGGTTCGTGAGTCAGATCCTGCAGCGTGGGGTCACTGGGCTGCTCTCAGCTGCGGGGATGGCGGGGCAGGGTTTGCCTTTTATGTTCAGCACTTCCTCCTGGACAATAAAAATCCTTCTTCCCACCATCCACCTCCTTGCCTGTTACTGTCCTGGTCTGCTCAGAGCTTACCACCACTTGCAGTGAGAATAGAGGACGCCCTGGCTGCTCCGGGGGGGGCCAGCACTGGGATGCTCAGCCAGTCACCACCTTCCTCACCCCAGAAAGGCTCCCATGTGTGAAGGATGCTTCCCTGGGAAGCAGGAGTATCCGTGGGGTGGGCCCACAGGGACAGGTGAGTGACAAGGGGATGGTTTGTAGGCTTGCTGTGGGCTGGGAGAAGACTCTCCAAACCCACCAAGTCATTGCTGTGTGGGAGCATCTCATGCAGGAGATGATGCAAGCACAGGACACCTTGCATGCAAAGGCTCTTCTGAAACTTGAGGGCCTCTTGAAGGTTTTCCCAGACCCAGGCTTACCCTATTCTGGAAATGCAGCAATATTTAAAAAAAAAAAAAAAAAAAAAAAAAAAAACAAACCAGTAAAATGTCTGCCCTCATCCCCTGAAGTCTGAGCTGAAGCATCTTGAAGATGGGCTTACAAGACCCTTCCTGTGGGTGTTTAGCTGTGTTCCAGCTGCCCTCCAGGGAATGAGCCTGGCAACCAGCATATGAATTTTCAGGAAAGGAGCATATTTTTCTTGCCATATAAAGCCAAAAGAGCACCAAAGCCCAGGGTAGGTTAGAATTAAGGTTTGGTTCAAAACATGTCACTGCCTGCCCAGGTGCTCACAGCCTTTGAGGATGGAGGTGACCATTCCAAGGCCCAGCTCTGCTTCCCTCCCTGGCTGTGGGGACAGGCCAGCCTGGCTGCCCATGGCACTTTACATCTGGACCCTCCCAGGCCCTTCCTTCACCACCTCTCTACCAGGTTATCCTGCCAGCCCATCCAGAGCCTCCTTCCTCGCAGTCTCCCATTCCATCCTTCCCTCTGGTGCCCCCTTTCCAGAAGCACTGCCCTCCAGGCTGGACAAGCTGCTCCTGGGCACTCTGCCCTGTGCTGAGGGTTGAACTCTACAAGCCCTGTGCTCTGCATTCCCCCTCACCTAACCCATTTCACTATTTATGTCTTTCATCCCTACAACCCCAACCCTTCTCCTTTCCCTCTGTGGCTGCCCCATCCCTGGAAGTGTCCAAGACCATGAGGACCATGCCCAGGGCATCACCCTGCTCACAAACCCCAGCAAGACGAGGCAAGGCTGTGTCATTTTTTTTTTAAAGAAATTGCTGTGAAATCACAGTCCTGGCAAGGGCCCATCTTTGGGGATGCTTCTCCAGGACACAGGGCCGTGTTTTCAGACCCTCTGTGTTCCCAAAGCTGAGCCCAACTGTACGCTGGGGGTATCCCATCTGGCCAGGCTGGGGACAAGGGACCCTGATGGCTGAGGGAGGAACCGGTTCAGCAGAGGAACTTTGGGAACCTGTCTGAGGGAAGGGGCTGGTCAAGAGGCAAACTCTTCTATCCCAGGAGAGATGACGACACCCTGGCTCATATGTGCCAGCAAATAAACCCTTTCCCATATCAAAAGAGCCCTCAGGATTTTCACTCCTCCTTCCAAGAGACTCTTATTCCAGCTTGCACCACCAGGAGCTGGCCTTTCCCTAGTAAAACAGCTTTTCCTTTCTACTCACACCCAGCATTACCCCAATCTTCCAACAACTCCTCTCCGAAGCGTTTTCTTTCCAGCTTCCCCGGGCCCGGCTTGGCTGTGCCATCAGCTGGCGAGGCTCTGCGAGCTGTGTGTGCCTGGAGGTGGCAGTCTGGACCTGCAGAGCACCTGCAGAGCCCCAGCCCCGAGCCCTGCGCAGGTTTGCAGGGTCAGACGTGCTCCGTGGCCGGCGGGAACAGATGGTGAACTCGCCTTCGGATTTACTGATCCGATTCCTGTCTGATCACATAGCAGCTCAGTCTGCCAAGGAAGGCTGTATTCCCAAAACACCTCCTCTCTCTGCTTTTAGCACAGTCGTTTAGCATCATGTCCAAGTAAATTACTCAGGGTAATCCGATGTAAGATAGAAATATCAGCCCCAGCTGCTGCTTTAACCCTTGGAAGGATTACAGGTTAAGTTCCGTGTGGGTTTTGAAGTATCCCACAGGTCACGTCTTGGAAACCACCATCAAGGAGTAAAGTAGCAGCACAGCTCATCCCAGGCTGACAGGATTGCCTGCTCTGCCATCAGGACAGCGTTTCCCTACCTCAGGCAAGCCAGGCTTGGGGAGGGATGAGCCAGGACTGCAGCAACCCTGAGTTCTGCTGCAGGGTTGTGAATACGGGGCAGGATTCAGAGCACAAGGGCAGGTCTCAGGTTAGGAGGGATCCCTTGTTGCAGTCACCTGCTGTGACAGGAAAAAGGGGAAAGGACTGGCACTTCATCTCCTAACTGGGAAGGTGCCTTCCTCTCTCCTTTGGGTGTGAAAAGGAACCTGGACTAAGCAGCCTGGCTTTAAATTCCAGTAATATGATGTGCATCCAGGGCAATCCCACCAGCCCACGGGATGCAACCTAAAGCATCTCACTCAGATGGGAGTGCCAGGGGATCCCCTGACAGCCCAGCCCCTCAGGGACCTGTGTCCCAGCCCATGGAGCCTGGGATGTGAGGTTTTGGAGAATGTGAGCAGGATCCTCATCCCTCAGCAGTTTGTGGGGCCCCCATCCAGCAACCCAGGCACAGTTACACCTGCTTTTCTGAGAGGGCTGTCAAAAATCCCCAATGTCCAGTCAAACAACAGAGCCTCTCAAATTTCCTGGGTGAAAATTCCTGACAGTTGTGTTTTGGGAAATCCCAGTGTGCAGTTACTGCACCTCCCCCTTATGCTGGTCCTTCTGGAAGGGAATTGCAGGCAATCTGCAAGTGCCAGAAAGAATTCTGAATGCAAAGCTGGGAACACTTCCCTGAACCCTGTCCTGCTTATCCCTGGGTGTAAAAAAAAAAAAAAAAAAAAAAAAAACCAAGCAAGAAATTGTTTACTGAGTTAAAAGGACTAAGGGGTTGCACACCACACGGGGAACTTGTGAAAAGGGTAAAAGCCTTGGAACTTGTTGATCTCAAATCCCAGCCATGACATGTTATTTTCATTCTGCTGATCCTGAAAGAAGGTGAAATTGTTCCCAGCGCTCCTTGGGGTCTGCCTGGCACCAGAGTCACTCACTCTTAAAGATTTCTTATTACTCATCACGTGTCTCATTTCCTCCCCACATTCCAAAGTTGTCCTGAAAAGTGACCCTGGCAGGGAGCAGGAATTGGGACAGAGGGAGC